TATCCTTCATCCATCCAACCACCATTCATCCATCCACCCATCATCCTTTATCCTTCATCCAACCAACCATCATTCATCCATCCTTCATCCAACCACCATTCATCCATCATCATCCTTCATCCATCCACCCATCATCCTCTATCCTTCATCCATCCAACCACCATTCATCCATCCACCCATCATCCTTTATCCTTCATCCAACCAACCATCATTCATCCATCCTTCATCCAACCACCATTCATCCATCATCATCCTTCATCCAACCAACCACCATTCATCCATCCCCAGTGAGGCTGATTTCTATTACTCTGCAGAAAGACCATGGACCAGGAATCGAACCCCTTGGAATCTAACTGATCAAGCTTTTGATCGAGCTTTAACAAAATAAACTTTCTCCATTTTTAAACTTTTCTATCATCCTCTCTGGATCTTTTCATGGTTCTTTTCCAGCATAGTTCCACAGTTATTACTGTAAAACAAGGAGACAATGAGGGAATATCAAACAGTATTTTAATGCGAGTTGGAGGCACCTTTACTTATGGATGGTTATTTACCATTGCAAATAACAGTGAGGCTCCGCTTTAAATGGACAGTGGCTCCCTCTAGTGGACGGTGGTAATATTACAATACATTTATTCCCAGTCTGTTATCAGTTAATCAGATGGAACCAATTTAAATCAAATAAATCATTAACCTATAAGTTCATCGTGATTAGATTTTTTACATTACTTATCCGTGTTGGTTTTCAGCAGCTGTCTTTCCTCTTCATTCAGTTCTTATAAAATAACTGTGGCAGGCAAATAAAAAAGCATCTAGAATATTCTGTAGCTGCGGTTGGTTCAACTGATCCAAATTATTCTAATTAAAGCATATCTTTTCTAGGATCCTTCAGGATTCCTCATGAAGTTCTATGTCCAAACAGAAGATTTTTAAAACATCTAAACCTGTTTCAGAACTTCTGGATGTCCAAGAAGAACCACGTCTGGTCCAAACTCAGCCAGAGGCCCTGTGTTTTTACAAAAATAACTAAAACTTCTGGTTCCTATACGTTTGAGTCAATAGATTGGTCTCTGATCTGTTTTTTTAATCATTTAAATAACAAAGTGGAGCAGAAAAGTTTAACATTTTAAAGTGATCCTTCTGTGGTTTTTAACCCGTTCAGACCCTTTTTTTTTTGGCTGCTGAAAACAAACTCCTGTTACCAATAACAACAAGAACGTCTCCGGCTGCGACACAAAAGGGAGTGATGGCCTAGTGGTTAGGGCATAGGGTGTGGAATCCTTAGGTTCTGACTACAAAACCCACTCCCACAGACTGCCACTCTGGCTCTTTGAGCAAGACCCGATTGCTCCCCAGCCACCACACGATGGCAGCCCAATGCTCCCCAAGAGGATGGGTAAAATGCAGAGGTAAATTTCTCCAATGTAAGAGCAATAAAGTTGAATTAAAAACCATAAAAATGTTGTTAAAAAAAGATTTTATTTATGTTTTCCACAGTGGATTATACAATAACTCCAACAAAACATGACTGCAGTTCTGAATTAAATAGAAAAAGAGGGTCGTTTGAATGAACGAGTCCGGCTCACCGTGGACCGACACGAGGAGGACAAACTGCAGCTTCATTAAAACGACTTTATTTACACAAACATAAAAACAGCAACAGACATGCCATGCTCTTCAAGCCACAAAGATGGAGCGGGACGGCGAGCCGAGTGGGTCGGGACCGGCCGGTCTGCTCTGCCGTCACGCTGCTAAAAGAACAGGGTGTTAAGAGAACTCTACAAGTATCTACAGCCTGATTAACCTGCAGGGGGCGCTGTGGAGGACACTTAAATATTTACAGATTGTTAGAAACAGGAGCATCAGGTGTATTATACAGACACAGGAGGGTGGGGGCAGCTGTAATGGTTTCGTCTCACAGGCACAGTGGGCGGAGTCAGGCTGTGTGTGCGGAGGCCGCCGCCCATCCTTCGCCTCACTGCCTGTTGCTCTTGATGCGCTCCAGACGTTTCTTCAGGTCGTCCAGGTTGGCAGCCGGCGAGGCGGAGCGGGCGTGCGAGCGCGTCGGCGAGCCGGAGTGCGGGTTGTGCTCCTGCTGGTACAGCTCCCGGGACTCCTTCAGCTGAGACAGCTTGCTGTGGAGCATGTCTGTGGACGACGCCACGGACGGCTTGGAGGACAGCAGGGATGAGATGGCCGGCCGCTGCTGGGGCTCGTCCTCGCTCCCTCCGAGACCCTGGACCGACAGAGAGGAGACCCCGTAAAAAACAAACATGGGAGCCATTTCTGACCGTTTCATTCTGTTGGATTCATTTAGGATCAGTATCTGAAATGGAATGAGACAGGAGGACACCTGGAGACCACAGAGGAAGGACGGAAGGACAGGGGGGAGGGAAGGAGAGAGGGGCAAACAGAGGGAGGGAAGGGGGGATGGACGGAGAGAGGAAAGAAAGGACAGAGGGTCTGATGCACAGAAGGAAGGAAGGAGGGACTGAGGGAAGGACAGAAGGAGGGAGGGAAGGAAGGACAGAGGGAGGAAGGGAAGGAAGGATAGAGGGAGGGAGGGAAGGAAGGATAGAGGGAAGGAAGTACAGAGGGAGGGAGGGAAGGAAGTACAGAGTGAGGGAGGGTAGGAAGGACAGAGGGAGAGAGGGAAGGAAGGACAGAGAGGGAGGGAAGGAAGTACAGAGTGAGGGAGGGTAGGAAGGACAGAGGGAGAGAGGGAAGGAAGGACAGAGAGGGAGGGAAGGAAGTACAGAGGGAGGGAGGGAAGGAAGGACCGAGGGAGAGAGGGAAGGAAGGACAGAGGGAGGGAGGGAAGGAAGGACAGAGGGAGGGAGGGAAGGAAGGAAGGACAGAGGGAGAGAGGGAAGGAAGGAAGGACAGAGGGAGAGA